GGATTGTTTGTAGCAATACATGTATCAAGGTATTCATACTCCTTGACTCAACAGTTTTTCTTCTAGGAACTTAGCCTAAAAAAATCACCAGAGATGTATATTGAGATTTTTGTGTGAGGATGTTCACTAACATGTATTTATGATAGAAAATTGCCAACATTGAGAATATCTAGCAATCAGGGCTGGCTAAGTGATAGTGATATGAATATAGAGCACTATGCATACATTACAGTTGTTTGAGGAAAGTATTTAATGTCAAAGGAAAATGCTCTAAGTGAATAAAGTAAGAATTTAATACAGTGTATCATAGAATACTAATTTTAATTTAAAAATGAGAAAAAACAACTATAATGAGATTCTACCTCCCAGTTTTTCTCTGGTAATGAGAGTTTAGCGTACAGTAATTTTCTTCAGATTTTAAGTTCTTCAATGATCAAGCATTACTTTTTTAAAATAAGAAAGTTTTTAAAAAAATTTATTCCCCACCTCCAAAAAACTACATTGAGAATTTTTCATTTAAAGCTAAGTATTTTTTAATAGGTGAACCAAGAAAATGCTTCTCTTCTTTGCTTTTTTGTCATTAGAATGTGCTTGTGGTTGTTTTTCTTTTTAAATCAATGCCAACATCATTCTTTGTGTGAGAGAAATGGCTTTGCGGCTTTAAGAAGTTGCAGTTTTAGCCAAAAGGAAGTTATACCCCTTAGCAGGGACTCAATCAAATAATATACCATCTTTTGTAATCATGCAGTGATGCCTGACTTCCAAATGACTTACTAGTATATGGGTGTTGGTGTTCGAATCAGTTGTTTTTGGCACAGTCCTGATGGACTGTTCATTTGTTAAAGGTGAATGAATGGCAGTGGGCTTTGCGAGCCCTTCTGCTTGTTAGTGGTAGAAATCACTAGTTAAGGACCCTATCTTTATTTGGAAAAATTTGTGATACGGGAAGAATAAGACATGTTAATAGATGATGGTTTTTATGAGCAGGTTCTCTAGGGGCAATGGAGGGAGAGGATTTTGGGGACTGGAGGATGGGTTTCATTTGTCTTTGGCAGTAGTAGGTGATGGCTGTTGAGGGTAGAATGGCCTGTACTGTGTCTGTTGAGGTGAACTTGACTTTGAGGTTGGTTGAGTTAGAGGGATAAGTACCTATGAAATCATGGGCTCACAAGCCTTATGCTTCTTCAGCCCTCACTGTCACCCATTACTTGAGAAATCCATAAGATTGTGAGGATGGCGAATATAGCAGACACCTCCTCGGAAGGCATTGAGAGGCCAGCCCAGAATGCTGGAATGTGGGTAAAACTGGCTTCTATTTGGTTCATCATGTGGGAAGGATTGGCGAAGTTAGTATTGGCTCTCTTGAGAGGGTTAAGTTTAACAGGGTACCAGTTGAAAGGAATTTTCTTTCCTTTCAGGAAACTTCAGTAATAATTTATACATTACTGAATTATATTACATTGTATGGATACCACATTTTGTTTATCCATTCCTCAATAGACGATCATTTGAGTTGTTTCCACTCCGGTTGTTATAAACAATACTGCTATGAACATTCATGTACAAGTCTTTGTGTGGACATGTTTTCATTTCTCTTGGCTATAAACCTGTGAGTGAAATTGCTAGGTCATTTGGTAGCTCTGTGTTTCATGTTGTGAGGGCCTGCCAGACTGTTTTCCAAAGCAGCTGTACCATTTTACATTGGAACCCTTCTCTCTCTCCACATTCTCATCCACACTTATTGTTACCCTTTTTGATTATAGTCATCCTAGTAGGTGTGATGTGGTATTTCACTGTGTTTTTAATTGGTATTTCTGGGATGGCTAATGATATAGAACATCTTTCCATATGCTTATTGGCCATTTGTATATCTTCTTTTTTTGAATAATGAAGGCTTTTTTTAAAAAAAAAATGTCTTTATTGATTTCAGAGAGAGGAAGGGAGAGGGAGAGAGAGAGATAGAAACATCAATGATGAGAGAGTTGTCATTGATCGGCTGCCTCCTGCACGCCCCCCACTGGGAATTGAGCCCGCAACCTGGGCATGTGCCCTGACTGGGAATCGAACCGCGATCTCCTGGATCCTAGCTCAGTGCTCAACTGCTGAGCCACACCTGGCTGGGCTGTATATCTTCTTTGGAGAAATACCTACTCAGATCCTTTGCCCATTTAAATTGGATTATTCTTTTTATTATTGAATTTATTATTGTAAGAATTCTTAATACTTTTAAAGTAGTAAAGACCACAATAGATTTTCTTTATGTGGGTTATACCTACCCATATTTGCCAACAGAAACTTTAAAAACATTTAATTTAAAAATACATTTAAAAATAATAGCAAACCCAGTACATGTTAACAAAACTAACACTTTTTATGAAACAATATTTATTTTGCAAAGTACAGTGAGAAGAGTGGCTTTGTTTTATATTTTTGTAAATCTCTTTCATGCCTGGCTTAATAGAAGACAGTTGGATTCTCACATCTATTTCTGTACCCATTCTGCTTCGAAATACTTTGACTGAAGTATAGGGAGAAAATCTGGCCTTATACAGATACGCATTTGGAAAAGGGAGGAATATTTTATTAGCTTCTTAAGATAATTGTGGTATTCTTTAATACCATATCAAAACTCATCAACAAGAGAGAGTTTCTTAAAGGTTAGTTGTAATGTGTAATCTGAAGCCATATGGGTGAATGCTTCATACCCTTTTACATTGAAATCCACTGATCTCTGTTGCACTTTGAATGGATCTTTCACTAGTTAGTTATTTTATATTATCATGCATTGACTGTTTAGAAAATACTGATTCACCGAGTCAGGCAGCTCTTCCAAATGCTGAGATATTTCATTATACAGTATTTTTAAAAAATCACTTTTGTCAATACCCTCATCTATCTCAATAGAAAAGTCTTTAAGTATTAGGATTCTTTCAAGCTTATGGTGATAAATACAAATTTCCCAAAATTCTAATGTTGCTTAAAAGCTCACATGTTATCATTGGTAACAAATATTGTCAATTGTTTTCCTTGAAGTGACAAGCTCACTTCATTTATTGTTGAGAAAAATGTCTGCCCTATGTCTGTCTGTATAGCTATACTTGGTCAGTTGTTCTTTTAAGTAAAAATGGTGTTCCATAAAAAAGTGGCTAGTTTGGCTTGCAACTCACAATCATACAAGTGCGTTTTCGTGAGGCAACCATTGTTCAATGCAGTGAAAGTGCCCTCTGCATACTTCTCATTTTGTTACACAGAATAGTTATGAGCATGTATTCAGGAGTTGAGCGCTAATACAATTAAGTAATTACTTCATCAGTATTCTTCATCAATATTGCTTCAGCAACATTCTTAAGGAAACGTCTTTTGTAATTTTTTTATTTCTTAAGTTGTATTTTCTTTTTAAAAATTGATTTGAGAGAGAGAAACATTGATGTGTTGTTCACTTATTTATGCATTCATTGGTTGACTCTTGTATGTGCCCTGACCAGGGATTGAGCCTGCAACCTTAGCGTATCAGGATGATGCTCTAACCAACTGAGCTGCCCAGCCAGGGCCAGGAAACTTCTTTTTTTAATTGCAAGTATACAATAATCAAGAGTGCAGCTTGATGCCACTGCCTTGATTCATGCAACAGTTTTTCCCACCATTGTTTTTACACCATCAGTGGGCATATCAGCACAGTGTAAAAGGCAAATAATGTCTTAGTATTATTATAAAAATAGTTTTGCCCTCATAGGTTCCCTCATAAGGTTTTAAGGATCCTACCTGCCCCCCACCCTGGGGTAGGGAGCAGTGACAGATGGCTTTGAGAACTGTTGAGTTAGATGGCATTTAATGGAAATTGGGATAAAAAATGTTTTGAAGGTGCTTGATATGTGAGAATGTTAGCATAAACTTGTATAGTGATAAAGACTAAATGTATATATATAGAGAGAGAGAGAGTGAGAGAGAGAGAGAGTGAGAATACTGTGCACCTTGTAGTTACATCATTCTTTCCAGTCTTCAGCAATATTCAAAACCACAAAGCCATTACCATTGAGGCTTCTTGGAAAATAAAGTGCTTTCCCATTTTCTTCTTCCTTTTTTCTTTTCTTCCAAGAAAAGGACCCTCTTCGTCACCTACCTTTGCCAAATGTGGTGTTTCCCTTATTTCATGTTTTGAGTTTGGAAAGGTAGTGGCCCTTTAGGGCCTTCCTCTATACATCTATTTCTCAGGACACTCCTTACTCTGAAAACCCTAGACTGGTGTCTAGTTCAAGCCCAGGCCAGTGGCTGGCAGGGACCCAATCCTTGCCATGTAAATCCTCACTGAATGGCAGGAGACTCAAACTTAGCAGTTCATGGAATTGTAAGGTGAGCCCTGTTTCCCAGCCAATTATGACTCCATCTAAAGCCATAGCTGGGCCATTAATGTATTTTGGGCCTTGTCCTCTTTTATATCTTGCCAAATTCTGAGAGTCTACTGTATAGCTACTGGCAACAGGCCTCTGCCAAAAACAGTCTATGAATGTATCATTTTACACCTCATTTTTCCCCGTTTCCCCCTGTGATGGCACCTTGCCTGTGTTTCTCTCCCACATCTTTCCACCCACTTTAAAAATTATTCATTTAACTTATTCCTGCATTGTGATGTAGACTTTTGGCTTCTATAGTTAACTTAATTGTGAAAGAGTTGCTGAAGAATGAAAATGCTAGTATCTTCATATAGGACCCTTCCTTTCTCAACCACCAGTGGTTTTCCTTATGGCCCTCGTATGGGTTGAGTTGTGCCCTCCCAAAATTCATATGTTGAAGTCCTATCCCACCAGTACCTGAGGGGTCAGAATGTGGCCTTATTTGGAGATAGGGTCTTTAGAGAGGTGGTCAAGTTAAAATGAGATCATTAGGGTCGACCCTGATCAAATATGACTGCTGTCCTTATAAAATGGGGAAATTTGGACACACACACACACACACACACAGAGAGAGAGAGAGAGAGAGAGAGAGAGAGAGAGAGAGAGAGAGAACCATGTGAAGATGGCAGGCAATGATAAGGGTGATGAATCTACAGACCACAAAATGCCTGAGATTGCCAGCAACCCACCAGAAGCTAGCCGGGGAGCCATGGAACCGTTCGAACCATTCTCTCTCAGCCTGTGATCTCCAACTTCTAGCCTCCTGAACTGTGAGACAGTACATTTCTCTTGTTAAGTTTGTGGTACTTTGTTACGGCAACCCTGGGAAACTAACCCTGGCCTCAAGGCTGACTGCTGTCTCTTATGACCTCGTGGTTCTGTTACTCACCTTGGACCTTTGTTTTACAGGTCACACCACGGATAGTCTCTGAGAGTGACCTGTTCCCCCACTGTGTGAGAGTCCTGCTCAGAGCAATGCTCTGTTAATGCTCACATTAACGAGGAATGCAAGGGTGAGAGTGGTGTCTTCTGGAAGGATGGAGAGATGGTATCGGACCCGGAGGCAGGCGGCTCCGTGTATCTGCTTCCATCCCTCTGCCATTCCTCTTCCCTGCATTGATTGGAGATGTTGAAATCTGACCGGCCTCCACTTGCTCCCCTTCCCTGTGGGGCAAGGAGCATTGAGCCAGCATGGGTATATTTGGCTTTATTTTCTCCAAGTGCTTTCTCCATGGGACCCTCCTGTGGGTTCCCAGCTGACCGCCTATTTGCACCACACAACTAGAAGAGGTGGCCAAGAAAAGCGAGCTGCTGGAATGCTCAGGGCCCCGAAACATTACCCTTTGTGGTAGTTTGGTTCTTGCCAGGATGTCCTTGTAAAACTTTTATGAAGATGTTGTTCTACTTGCATTGGAGGTTGAAAATTGCTGTTAACTTTGCTAAGTCCCATGTCCCCCAGGAATGTGGGATGCTAAGGGAATGCCTCTGGCCCTCCCTTCTGGATGGGCGCTCGGCTGCAGCAGCTGCCTGGGCAGAAAGTTGAGCTGGATGGATGGATTAAGGGACATCAGCTAGGCCTTTGTTTAAAAATATTTAAAATATGTTTGAACCTCCCTTTACCAACAAAGAATAGTTCCTTTCAGCAGAGTGAAGTTTTTCATTTCCATGTTTTTTTGTGATTTTATTTGGTTCTTTTGTATATTTGCGACTTCAGAAAAGTGTCCCCATTCACATTTTGGAAACCAAGTACAAAAGGCGCTGCATGGTTATGTTCTATTTTGCTTAAGGGGAAAGAGCAGTTTACTTCTGTTAGGAACATAATGTTTAGGAAGATCGTCTTCTTTGGCTTGAGTTAATTTTTCCTTGTGCAGAGCTTGATGGTTTAAAAAAAAAAAATAACATGTTTGAGAATGTGTGTATTTAAAACTTCTTTGGAATTAAGAGTTAATGGAGTTATATGAGTAATGAGAATGAGCTTTGGAAGTTTCAAAGAAATAAACCAGAAGGAGTATTAACCCACTCAAAGTCCTTGACTATTAGGTATTTTGAGTTAAATGTCAGAATAAGATTGCATTTTCCTAAAATAAGATCCAGGTTTTTTCCTTGTCTTCCTCCTAGATGATCACAGTAGTGTGTATCAGATTTCTGCTTAACTTCAGCTCTTCTTTGGGCATTTGCCCATTGTTATTAGAAACCTGAGATACTTCTACATACATGCAAGAAGGGCCAGCATGTTGCACAACTCCAGGGCCCCCATTCATCTTAGAGTGCATGGATTAGACCGGGGTGTGAAGGGTATGGGACAGAGTTGAGTAGTGTGTGGCCCTGCGCACAGGTGCTGACAGGCAAGGCATGGTTGGTGGAGGTCCCTGCTTCTTGGGTTTATTAGTACATGATTATTTTTAGAAACTGACCCTAGCCATAACCCCTGATATTCTGTGTCCTTAACCCAAATCATTCATCCAAATCATTTATTTTGAGGAGTATTTGGCCAACTCTGGGTTATGGCTTTGCCCTCCAGCCGCTAGCTCAGCCACAGCTTGACAGGGGTGAGGCCACAGCCGGTGAAAGATCAATCTGGAGAATTATTAGTTGTTTCTTAAGGTTGCTTTAAAATTGCTTGAGGGCCAACCCTCAAGTTTAGGAAAAGAGTGTGTTTATATTTCTTCATCTCTCACCTTTCTGCTAGGAGTATCCCTGACCTTCATTGATTCTGGAGACAGGAATCTGAGTGAAGAAGATGAAGGTGGCTTTGACTAGACATTCTAGAATATTTCAATAGTTTCAGATCTTGGATTGAGGTTAGTGATGCACCACTGGCGACCCAGGTTCCACTGTATCCTGAAAGGATGTTTCTCTTCAGCCAGGCACTTGTCAGTCATTAACCAGACATTTAGCAAATGGCACATATGTCTGTTAGGTTGGGTCCTATGAACTTGATGTTTTTGCAAATCAGAAATGGTTGAATATTGGCAGTTTCTCCTGGTCCCACCAGGAGTTCTCTAGAGAGGCTTATGAAGAGCAGGAAGCTGAGACCCACATGCCTTGTGCTGGGCTGTGATTCTTGCCTGGACACTTGTGTGTGACATTGCGCAGGTCACCCACCCTCATTGTACTGCAGTTTACTTCTCTGAAAATGAGGATGATTGTGGTACCACATTGTAGGGCTGTGTTAAAGATGAAATATGTCCAGGTATATAAAGCACGTAGAGTAGGGCACAGCACACACACTCTGTGTACTATTATTTCTTACTTACTCATTCTTAAGACACCATCTCAATTTTTGCCACATTTGTTTGCCACCTATTTAGTCATTTATTTTTCTTTAAAGTTACTACAATTCTAAAAACAGAAATAACTTATTTTGTTGATTCTTAGATGCTTTTTTTTTTTTTTTTTGGTATCTTATCATCTCTGAAATTGGAATGTCTTAAAAGTCCACAGCATGTCCTAGTTTAATTTTTCCCTTGTCCATTCAAAGATGTTATGGTTGATGGTATTTTAGATTTGATGACATCTACAATTTTTTTGAAGGAGATTTTATCAATAATTTGTGCTGGTTATCTTTTCTAATTCACTAAAATGAGTAGATGTCTATTGTTTTTAAAAGTCCCCCTGTGTACCACCTAGAATCCTCTGTGGATCGGCAGTGGCTCGTGGCCTGCATTTTGGGAAGCACCATGTGCCATGGATGGTTTTCAAGTCACGTTCTGTGGAGCTGCTTCAGGGCCTGTGCCAGAAGCAAGGAAACTAAAGGAGTAGCTTCGGATCCTCTTTACCCAGTGTGGCCCTGCTTTTTGCCTGTCGTTCGTATTAGAGTTTTATTTAAGCATTGGTTTATGGAAAGGACACCCGGTACTAAGCGTGACTTGAAAACCAGCAGTAAGCCATCCTTCTATTTCCTGTGCTGAGGTCCCACAGGGTGGGCAGGATGGGAGTGCACGTTCTCTCCGTCCCTAGGACAGGAAGAGCACATTGGCCCACCTGGCTGATGGGAGGAAGCTCTGTCCACTTGTAGATCCTATTAAGAAATACAGAGATGGCTAGAGACAGGGATGTCTGGCTGGCAAAGGGTGCCTTCAAGGGGGAGTGTGTTCTTTGCAGGCTGCTTTCTGAGGTGGAGGTGAGCTGGTAAAGTGATGTGTGAGACCTACCCCCAAATAGAAGGGACTGGATAGGTATGTAGTACAGATAAGGTAGGGAGGGGTGATTGATAGTTCCTGTAATAATACCTGTAGACCGTCCTGTTAGATGGAAATGTCTGATGACATTTTTCAGATTTTCTGAGCAGCTTCTATTTTTTCTTGATTTTTTTTTTTTTTTTTTTAAAGCAGCAGCTTCTTACATTGGATGAAACTCTGAGTGTCCTAGAAACAAAGGGACCTCCTGTTTCTTCTTCCCTTCCCTTTTCTGGGGCTGGTGTTTTCTCTGTGACCGAGGGTACAGCTTAGCAAATTTGAGGAAGCTAGTTTTGCCTTTTCTCCTAGGAAAGAGAGCTTATCTACAGGGCAAGGGGCCTGTCTTTCAGTCCTTTCAAGTCACCTTGCTAGCTTCTTGAACCTTGAACTGAGCAAAAAATTGCTTAATTGCCCAAAGCAGTATGTGAGGTTAGTATGGAAGACTTCACACATTCCTTCTCTAACTTTATCTCAGAGAGAGCTGAGAACTGAGTGAGGCATTCCTGCTGTGGAGACCTCCCTGGGCATGAAGGCATCCTGTAGAGGAGGGAGGGGCTCCATCCCTTCAGGCCTGGGATATAAATAGTGCCAGAGGGCTTTGGAATCAGTCCAGGTCAATTCTGGAGGGAAGATGGGGCCTACAGCCACGACCTCTTTCCACCCCAAAATGTCTTTAGCTCTAGGGTCTTAGCAGCCAAGTGGGGTCAGGGCCACTACCCACTTAAAATACATCTTGATTTGTTAAGAAGGTGGATTTCAATTAGGTCTAGAAAGTAATGTGCGTATTGTGCAGGATACAGGGGTTTTTGTTCAAGGCTGCCTGCATTTGGAAGTTGAATTTATAGAGCAGTGTAGATTTACATGTAGCATCTTTGGATTTATTACAACCCCAGGCGTATGATTTGGAGCCAGAACAGTGCTTTCTAAATTCTGTCTTTGTCAAGGGTCTTTATATTTCTGAGATTTTGCTTTGGTGGCACTGGTTACAAGATAAGATTCACAGTTACAAAATTCCAAGCTGACAATTATCATCTGGAGCCACTCCAGAGTTGGATCCTTGGTCTGACTCTTCACTGTGTCATTCACAGCATCTGTCACAGTGCATGTCCCCCAGAGGGTGCTCAGCACATTTGTTTAATGAGTTTATAAAGTTAACAAATTGCTTTCTGATTAGGCAATAATGCTCAGTCTTTCCGAGACCTTGTCCGTTGTGCTGTGTCTAGCGAGATTGTACACTGCATCCCCTGAGATTGTGCCACGTTTACAGGTGGGAACACATTGTTGTGTTCAGTTTGGGAGTATGGAGAATTGGGGATGGAGTCGTCAAAATGGATGCATTGAAAAGTGAATGACTATACTGTCCAGTTGTTAATAAGAGCTGAGGTTACAATTCATTGGAATGAGTTTTGTCTTTGCTGAAATGTACTAACCAGTTGACCTGTCAACAACTATTTGAGTGCCTACTAGGTAGGCCGGAAGTCAGTGATTGATAGACTTAGAGATGGATAAAACAGTTGGCTTTACTTTTGTCTCCCTCAAATCCAGAGAATGATTAAAAAGTAATTTATTTTGGGAAGGATGTATGATACCGTGACTCAGGGGCATAGTAGGGGCAGAGTGGGTGGTTTGAACGCTGGTCCAGGTGACTTTGGGTAGGTGACCTCCTCAGCCCAGGCTCCTTCTTATCACACAGGGGCAGTAATCTCTGCCTTATAGACCTCACAGAGAATGAACCAGAAATGACCTGCATTAAGAGTTTTTTTTTTAAAGACTGTCCACCCTGAAGTGGTTGCCACTCACAGGGGGAGAGAACTTAAGAGTGGCTCTCTGGGTCACAGAGGACATCCCAAGAGCCTCAGGCTTTTGATTAGCTGCCTTTGGTTCTCCTGTCCTCCTTGGGTACCAGTTCACCCAGTTTCCTTCATTTGGCATATTTCCCAGTTTGGCTTCTCTCTTAGCTCAAGGTCAACAAGTTACTGTCTGTTCAAAACTGAATGAATTGCATCTGGTACATTTT